TCACTGCCGGGTTGGGCCGACCTGCCTAAAGATAGACGAGCATAATGAGGCACTTTATTCTCCTTCCTTGCACCACGTTTTCTGATTCCAATGCTACACGGCATAAATGTTTATCAAATAAAAGACTTGAGAACGATAAACCACACTAGCTACAGTGAGTATTCATGTATGTTAATATCTGTATTTTGGTGAAAATGTGGCTTATCTTGTGAATATATAATTATGACTTGTTCTTATGTTTGTATTTATGAAGGGTTTGGAACAGTAATAAAATAAGCCACACTTCGGTCCTATTTAAAGAGAAATGATATCTCAGCTTGCATAAATATACATCGGCATACATATGTCACAAATCACAAATTTTAGTAGAAAAATTGTGGTATTCATTTTTCTAATGCATCGAGATCAGCACCATACTAATTTCCAATTTTTAGAAACATGGATTCATGTATTGTTTACTGATTGATTAGTTTACTGACTGATTCCGGGCTCGTCAACGGCAGAAATAGTTAGTCCCTTAAATGTAGTGAATGTTGTTGTTAAAATAAATTTAAAGTAAATAAATAAAGTAGGAAAAGTAAGTAAACAAGTAAATAAAATATTTAAAAGTTAAAATTATCAGGGAAGTGGGGGTGATGAGATCTTGGATGGTGAGATCCAACGCCGACCTGAACGTCAGGTTGCGCGGTTTTCTCCCCACAAATGTCTTTCGCAGTGGAGCACTGCCCCCAGGCGGGACAAGCTTTAAGCTCCCGACTGGTCTCCCATCATGTGTGATAGTGTAGTGCATGTAAGTGTAAGTGTGTTTAAGTAAGGGGTAAGGATATATATCAAGGAAAAGGAAGGAAAGATCGTGCGTGGTTCGTGGTGAGTTTATTAGGGTACTGCTCCGACATTCACATGGAGTTGATCGGAGAAACAACGGAAAATTACCGATCAGAGCAGCCGGGAGCTAGAATTCTCCTCCAGACATCGGCTAAATTTGACTTCGCTATGTAGCTAGTGTAGAAAATCCTGCTACCGTCTAGATTCCAACCCTAGGAACTCCCGGTCAATCACTACATCAATTGATGCTCTGAGTCACCTAAACTGATTTTTGTTTATTATGATGTGAGACTACCCAACCGCTTGAATTTTTATGTTTTCTTGAAATAACTTTCAAGTAAATTTACTACTTTTTAGATTGATTATTTTGTTTCCAGGCGCATCAACTACAGCCTCGTCTTGTACGAGTAGTGCATGTTTTATCCCGGCAGTGTTCCTCAGCTACAGATCGTGAAATCTGGGCATGGCCTACATGTCGGCTTATAAGGTTTTTCCTCAGCACGAATCTCCGCCAGCTTCCGACCGATCTCCCGAGATGTGTGGTTGTGTAGTGCATGAAGGTGTGTGTGCAAGGGGAGAGGAGATATCGAGGATGACAAAGATCGCATGTGGTTTGTGGTCCGATTGTTAGGATACTGGTCAGGCATTCGTCGCGTATTGATCGAAAGAAAACACGGAAAAGTGGCGATCAGAACAGCCGTAGTAGAATTCTGCTTCAGACAGTGACTGAATTCAACCTAGCTAATTAGGTAGAGTGAAAATTTCCGCTGTCTAATCTAATTTAGTCCTTTTACTTACCTGCACCTTATTGATAATTTGATTTAAAATTATTCACTTTGAGATACTTGAAATAATACTGCTATCTGTTGGATTAATTCATAAGGGCTGTTGGGGATTAATTCGTGTGGGTAATAATTAATTAGATAAAAAATGAAATAAAATTAACATTTTTTCATGAAAGGTCACTTTTTAGATAATTCCTAGCAGCTAGTTTTAAAATGTTTTGTGTCAAACACAATTACGCCGTAATTGTGACACAAAGCTACCTTTCAATAATAATTTACAATTTTACATTTAATTCTGTGGCGTCTGCTGTGGTAATATACAATTCATTTTTGTAAACGTTTTTTTAAAGCGATGTCATTTTTATGATAATTATTTACGCGGTTTTGCCAGCAATTGAAGTCGGCGAGAAGTGTCGGAACTCATTTATTTTGTTCGAAGGTAAATAGCCAACGTGATTTATTTACTTGTCGCCTCAGTAGCAGAGATCACTAACGCAATTCGGACTGAGCAATCTTTAGTCGAAGGGTCGCTTCTTCGAACACCACCTCAGACATGGAAGTTTGTTTGTGTGCTGTGGCATGATTAAAGCTTTTCCAAAATAACCTAATAAAATTATAATTCTTTCCCTTTCCTACCCCATGCCCAAACAGATGTCCGAAAGAGAGAGCATGATGCTCAGCGGATGGTGAAAGCACAGAAAAAGGACTGAGACGTTTGCGCCATCTTTCCGTCTCCGTACATCCCTAATCGATAAAACCGTCATAGTTTAGCTCAGACTCAGCGTTATCGATGTGTCAGCAGCGACTCTTTCCGGTATGTCCTAGGGTTCGAGTTCCGACAGTGGTGTCGGATTTACGACTCAAGCTAGGTCGAATTCAGTCGCTGTCGGGAGGGGAATTCTGGCGGCCGGCTACTCTGATCGGGAGTTTTGTGTGTTTTTTTATCAATACCAGGTGAATGCCGGAGCGGTATCTTAACACATAGGATACAGGCCGCGCTCGATCGTTCCTTCCTATTCCTTGTCCTTTCCTCATTCCTACTTACACACACTTTACTAGCATGCATTACACTACCACACAAGCCCGGAGACAAGTCGAGAGCTTCAAGCTTGTCACAGCTGGGGCGCTCCTCCGCTGGTCCAGTGCGATCGCTGGAGTTACATTTATTCAGGATATTTAGTAAATAAATTGAAAATGATATGAGGGAAGTCAATGAAATATATAAAGTGGCAAAATTTTGAATAATTTGTTTCATTACGTTCGATCTGTCGAACATACTTTTCTTCAGACTTGACTAATTTTTTACATCAACTGTGAAAAACGTTTCCATAAACAAAATCTACATAATTAATGTTGCATTGTTATTAACTTTACAATATACAAATTTTAAAATTCCCGAGAATTTTCAATGTAGTTTCCTTTTATATATATTTTTTTACGAATCTTTTGTATTTTGCCTCGACAATCGTTTGGTAACGCGCGGTCTCTCTTTATTGTCGTTTTAAAATATAACTCCACTAGTGTAGTAATGTAACATTGCACTGACGTGTACTTTTGAAAAGTAGTTCTTGAGTGTATTATTGGAGTCAGGTATTGGAGTCTAGTACTGATGTGTAGAACTGGAGAGTGGTACTGAAGGGCAGTATTGAAATGGTGTACTGAAGTGTTGTACGAAAGTGTACACATCTGGAGTGTACTAGTGAAGCGTGGTTCTGGATTGTAGTGCTGTAGTGTAGTGCCGGAGTGTAGTGCTGGAGTGTAGTGTTGGAGTGTAGTGTTGGAGTGTAATGTTGGAGTGTAGTGCTGGAGTGTAGTGCTGGGCTGTAGTGCTGGAGTGCAGTGCTGGAGTGTAGTGCTGGAGTGTAGTGTTGGAGTGTAGTGCTGGAGTGTAGTGTTGGAGTGTAGTGTTGGAGTGTAGTGCTGAAGTGTAGTGCTGGAGTGTAGTGCTGGAATGTAGTGTCGGGGTGTACTGCCGGAATGTAGTGTTGGAGTGTAGTGTTGGAGTGTAGTGCTGAAGTGTAGGGCTGAAGTGTAGTGCTGGAATGTAGTGTCGGAGTGTAGTGCCGGAGTGTAGTGCTGGAGTGTAGTGGAGAAGAGTAGAGCCGGAGTGTAGTGCTGGAGTGTACTTCTGAACTGAAGAAGGGAAGCGCAGCACTTACCCTGGGGTAGCGCAGCGATCGCAGCTCCGGGTACTGCGTGAGGCGCGCGGCGCCGCCCCCGAACCACGGGAAGCGCAGCTCGTCCACCTGCGTGTCGTTGAAGGTGGCGAAGAGCAGCGCGCGGCCGTCGGGCGAGAACCACAGGGCGTGGCGCGTCTGCAGCACCTCCTCTGCAACAGCCGCCCGTCGTGCACGCGTTGCGCCGCGCGCCCCCACACCGCCCACCGCCCACCGCTCACGACTCCAACGGATTGGTCACGGCTCAAGCGGATTGCAAAGCGCAAGTGGTGGAATAAATGAAATAATTGAGTGAAACCTTTGAGAAAGTTAACTACGTTAAACACTGCGGAATAACAATTGACTAGATTGACTTGAATAAATGACTTGGAAAAAAATAATGAATATACAATACTATTTGAGGGGTAACATAATACATTTTTTCTATCTACATAATACTATTTTTGTGATCTTCATTTATTTAGAATTCTCTATTATGATGTCATACATTTTAAAGTCCAATATGGTATGCAAATCTGGAGAGGAACCTTTATGATGTGTAATATGAAACTAAGAATAACTCAAAACAAATTTATCCGTATTATCTACAAAAACTAAGCATCATTTTCTCTTGATATGCAATTGAACATTTTACCACTATCACATCTCTAGAATGTTTAGTGCTACAAATGTTCTATGTTAAAAGCGGGAATAATGTAACCCATAGAATATGTCTCAATTACTGTACACGTTGCAAAGTTACTAATCCATTAAAAAACAAAAATTAATAAATCTCTAATAAGAACTTTCTTCATTATTGGGTCTCAAATATATTTTCAATTATCAATTATGTTAAAAAATAGTAAGTCCTTGAATTTCTTCAATCACAATGTGAAGATTTGAACTTTTAGAACATGATGGTAAGAATAGGAATAAGATAATTGAAATATAGGATTAAAACTGTTGTCCCTGTAAGATAATTTATGCATTTGTATATTGAGTTTTACATTAATGTCCTAAATGAGTGGTTGTGCTGACTGATAGGGAGGAATTTGTATTGGTACTAGATTTTAGTGGAAGTAATTTTATTTTTGCTTGATTGAGTTTGGGCGGTATACGTTTTTTGTAGATAAGTTTTGTACTAATGTTGAGTGAAAGATATTTAATTGTGCTGTACTGTGAATGCCAAATTATGGATTCGTTGTTGAATATCAAGAAGTGGGAGAAGTGTACGTTCTTAGGACGAATATTATGACAGAGGATTTTGATGGGTTAAGTTTTGATAGGTAATTTTTTTAGTTTAACGACAGAACTGTCGATTAGATTAAGATATAGTTATAATTATGTCTAATTAAAATAGATATTATAGCTCTTATAAAAACAAAAACGGTATATTACCCAAAGAAATAATTACTTTAATTTGATCAGTCGAACTATTGTGTAGTGCATGTAGATTTTAGCAGTTTACTCTCGTAAAAGTTTCAAAACCAAATATTTTTTCCGCAACAGTATTACGAGCGAAAGTGTATTTCGCGTAGCTTATCGTTTTCAGAGTCGAAAAAGTTACGAGATGTTCGTGCACAAAACGTATTGTATAGCTTTTTGAGTTCAAAACTTTTTCATGAGAAGTTTATAAACGTGTAGCACGAAACGTAGTGTCAGCACAAAACGGTAAAAAACGATCCAAAGTACTTCTATCGCTTACCACCACCTGGCCGTGTTGGACTAGAAATACGAACAAGTTTTAAAATTATTTATTCGCCAATGCGGATGAACAGTTCGTCGGTTAAAGTTTCTATTTCCGCACTCCCTGAGCGAACTTAATGGACAGACGGCAAGTTCGAATCAACTTGAAGAGATATCTCCGCAAAGAATATAAATTTGCAAGTGCGCTTCCAAGGGAGGGGGCTCTTGAGGCATCAGCCCCTTCCACAAGCCAATAATTCATATTGAAAATATACCTTTTACTAATTTTCCATAAAAACGAAAGTCATTCACTATACCTAAAAATATACCTTGATCTTAGAAATATTAACTATAAGACAAATAAAGAAAATATTTATTGTTTTTTTTCTGTTTAACGTTTATACGAACATTTTAGAAAATATGAATGTCACTATTGTTTTGTTTTAAACATTTATTTGTACAAATGTAGTACGAACTATTTTTCTTAATATTAAAGCACTAAAGGGTTATTAATGTATTTAGAATGTTTTAAGTAATTTTCGAATGTTAAAAATTGAATATATCAAACATTTAAAAATAATATGAGAATGCTGTAGTAATTTAGCGATAAATAAATTACCTATCTGGCGTGAGTACAAACATTAAACTCGTCTGCCATTATTTCATTCCGAATGGATGGGATATATTTTTCTCAATATAAAAAAACTTTGGAATACTGTCGTTGATTTTCTCAAAAAATAAAAATACGTTCAATTAAAGGCATCTTAAAAAAGTAAAAATAATTCATTATTAATAAAATAATAGTGATATTCATACAATATTTTTCTCAAAATTATAGGAACGTACTACACACAAAAATATACGGAGATTCATTTTACTCTATTTTATCAGAATTAAAATGGAAGTTTATTAATAATTGAAAGTACCTTTCAATTCACGCTGTAACTCAATTAAAATCCTATTATTACATGATTTGTAACATTACGAGTTTGTAAACATATGCACTTTACGGTTCGATTCACATATTAATAAAACTTCACGATAATAAGCAATGAGCAGTCCTGTATTGATCGTTGACACACAAATACTATATGAACATATCACTATTTGAAATTTTAAGACAACTACACTTAAACGCCCTTCAAACAATCTCTTTATTTAAGTTTAAAAAATATTTATTTACTGAAAATAAAGAATAAATTTCGTAATTCTTTCTTTATATAATTATTTACTTATAACAATGACAATCACTATTCGAATATAACCACGTGCATAATATCTACATGTTCATATTATAAATTTCCCTATTTATTGAGTTAAATTGTTTTAACAAGACTCTTCCTCGCAGTAATTCTGAATAACACATCGTTTAATTATACTCCACTAGCTGGATATGACTTGTTTCCTATGAAAGTATTTGCATGCAATAAAGGAAAGATTGTTGAAACTATTAAAGTATTTTATGGAGATTTTTGTTTGAAGTAGAGAAACATGAATATATCACAAAAATGACACATGGTCTGCTTTTTGTCTGTTGTGGTTCTTCAACTTCTTTCTAAGCTACAATTACTCCAAAATGCACTGACTGCTGATGCAGATGTCGAACACTACCTATAGAATCGACCAAAAGGAGCAATCTACGGAAGACACATATTTAACAAATGATTTTTATGTTTAAAAGAATAGTGTATTAGAAGCATATAATTTCTTCTATATATTTCTCTTAGATTATACAAAAGAACGAAAAGGGAAGTATAAGAGAATAGCTCTGTGATACGTAATTAAATGTATACGATCTTTTTGAAAGTGCTTGCAAAATTTCAACATTTTAAGGAGCATCATGGTTATTTTGGTAATCAGATAACTAGAACGATGATAACAGTTTTCCTAGCATTGGGATCAATTTTATTTTGAAATCTACATTTAATATTCATATAATGTATTACTGTGAAATGAAAGACAATGATATAATTTAAGATAGAACAAACATGTCATTAGGGTGGAGTCAGGTAAGATGGACATCCTATTTCTCAAAATTACGTAACGTCATACATTTTAATTAAACTACACGTGTTATTGATATTTTTTGTGGGTTTAGTTTGAAATTTTGTTGTCATAAAAAACGTTTCTTACTGAAGTGACGTTACCGTATCATAATTATTGCCGATATGGATGAAAACTTCTAAATGATAATTTTAAAACAAGGGTGTAATTTTCTCTATGCTTTTTTTACCACAGAGTGTTTTCACTTAAACATATGATTTCTCGTGAAGAAATGTTGCAAGAATGGGTCTAAGTTTTCAAGGAGGTCAATTCGTAATTTTTTCATGAATGCTTTCGTGAGAAGTTCCTTTTGACATCGGCTGCAGTACATTAATGTAGATAACTGTTACTAATATAAAGCTCTCTTCCGATATTCTAAATAATTTTGTATTATTTTGTGTCAATGTAAAAGAAACTGACTGACAATTTACAACATTAATTTTCTTGTTGATTTACTCTTGACCTTCTTAATATGTAGTTACATTCGTATACATAAGATAATTACTAAACACTTCGGTGGCTACAAATCATTAATTCATGGTGCCAATATTGTTTATTCTCTATTTTAAGTATAATTAGGAATAAAAAGAAAATTATGCAGTAGTGTGATAGAACCAAAAGAAAGTGAATGGTGACAAGTGAAAAAATTACTGATAATAATAATTATAACAATAATAACAACAACAATAATAATAGGTCAACCATCAGAGACAGGTGCACAGTGGAGCGCAACCTCTCAATCCACTGAAGTGCACCCCACCTCTATCTACCACTCGGCTACAGGCACCATTTTACGAAGGGCGTTCGGGGTCACATTCAGCGGCCGAGGGTGTCAGATATTCCTTCGCCGCCACTGCAATACGCGCCAGAAACACGACCGTGGGAGCGCGTTGACGCTGGGCGCGTACATACCTTCGTAGAGCCAGTCGGGCACGCCGTTGAAGACGACGCCCGGGCGGCCCGTGTGCGTCACCTTGACGGTCTCGGCGTCGGCGCGCGGCCGGTAGTAGATGTCGTTGCGGTAGACGAAGGCGAGCGCCGACCCCGCGGGCGACCACACGGCCAGCTGCAGCTGCGGCGCCTCGTCCGCGCTCATCGGCGCGTTGCCCGCCGCCAGCGGCACCACCTGTCTGCGCACCGCCCGCCCCCGCCCCCGTCAACGCACACGCACTCGCACACACATTCACAACGCCCTCGCGAACCATTCGTGTTCCCGAGCACGTCCACTGCTAGGGTCGTTAGATAATTAAATTTTGTGCATGCCCTTATAACGAGAGGTGGTAATGATCTTCACCAGCTTCCATACTCTGTGAGATACGGCGCCGACCTACACGTCGGCTTGGGGGGGGGGGGTCCCAGTACACGTATCTACTATCGGCGGAGCGCCCCCCTCCCAACAGGGTCAAACTCTGGTGCCCCGACATGTGTGGTATTGAAGGGCATGTGTTAAATACGTGTATGTGAGGGGTGAAATAGAACAACGAAGAGCAAAATGGCAGCAGAACCATAGCTTTTTTCGTTTTTTGTTATATTTAGTTAATATTTCTGTTTTTTGTTATATTTAGTTTAATATTTCTGTTATTTGTCAAATATAACAATTATGTGAAAATAATAATAAATCTCTCTTACGAGCGCACAACGTTTTTTAACAGATGAGAATCTTTGTCTCTCAATCCTCTAAGTTGAATGCTGGAAGTTAATGAATTTTTTGCACTTTTAATAAACACGATTATGAAGGTTTCGATTCAAATGGTTTCATTTTACTCTCAATTGTCTATTATAAATGTGAATGATGTACTTCATTTAAATGGATAACGTCTGTGCTTTAGTAAAGCCATTTCAGTTTTCGGAAAATAACATCTACTGATCCCTGCAATAATTTGTCCCAACAACTATTGTGGGCCAGGTATCCCGTTGCGCACCCCCACCCTGGAAGTACTTTAAACAACCCTCACTTTTACATCACGCGCCATTTGCTCTAGTCGCAATGCTCGCGAAATGTATAAAGCCCGCGACCTTGGGGTATCCGACGTAAATAATTTCTTCCGTTAGTGTAGTACATTATACATCCGAGAGGTGGCGAATGGTTATGATAGGTGTGGCTATTTAATCCAGCTTATTTCATTTCCAAACATTTTGCAAGAGAAACAAAAATCTTCTGAAGTTCACACGCGCTTTGAAATGAACATTGTGTGTTATCGTTCCTTATTAAAATAAGCTCAATTTTAACTATTATAATCCTTCGTGGAGTTATGAAGGATCATTTAAGCTTAGAAAAATTTAAAAATCTCATCTTTGGTAAATAATGGAATTAGGTAGTATTGTTTGCAAACGTCTCAATTGAATTTCTCTACTTAACCATTCTATTTGATAAAAGAAAGATTACACTCGCAGAAAAGTACTGTGACCACTGTCAAGAATATTGTAAAGAGAAATAATGAAAAGTCAATTCTATTGAATCACTTTTAGTGCCTTTCAACATAATTTCAAGTGTATCTATCTGTGGACAAAGTCCGTCATCCCGCATAGCGTGTTCGTTATCCCACCCATTAATGTCCAGGCTATTACACTATGAGATCGTAGAATAGCACTCTGCACGGTTGCAATTATCTCTATGGGTATCTCCCTTCATGTTCTTCTCTTCAGGTCGGAACGAGGCTATTATGATAAATCATATGTCAGGTAATCCCATACTAATGGAAGTAGTAACACTGTATTTAATGGGAATCTTGTAGCTCATAACATAGACAGTATTCCCTCCTAGTTTGGTGTCTTGAGAATATTATTAAGAAAGTTAATTGTAATCACTCCGGTTATAATTAAATTACACTTTACATAATTCTGTACTCATATTTTTACAATCATTTTTCACTTGTTATCTTACATTCATTCACCGCCAGTCTCTATTTTGCAGACATTCATCCGACTTTCTCTATTTTGCACACAGATTCCATATTTTCACTTCTTCTCAAACGTGCAAGCATGTACAAAGGTCTGTCACTCCTAATAGACACTTGTACTGGGAAGATCACCCACGTTAAATTAGCTACGCAGGAAGCTACGCTGTCAACGTTTTGATCGATAAATTAGAACTAGAACATTCATCAGGATGCTGAAGTTTCGGAATAAACAAAACAGCACCTCATCAGGGTCTCACAAACCATTCATTACATTATCCTTTCAAGCTTTTGTTCCTACTTTCTCCCATTTTTTCTCAAAGTGGGAAACACTTTTGGGCAGATACAGATAAACGCGTCTTTTCGTCCACTCAGTCGTAATTTGTCATGGGCTATGATCATCCCATCCATATTCCTAGGTAGATTGCGATTTAGAGTACACATCACGAATATGCGCATACATTCCTTTGTTGTTGATAACTTGCTATTTAAGGAAGTGTATTCAAAATACAAGCGTCGATTCAGGTGATCGAGTGAAGGAATGAGAAAAGCTCACGAGACAAATATTTTTGGTTTGTATGTAATGTATAAAAATGAAAATTTACACTTGTGTTTGTATTCATGTTTATATACTTATCATATAAAACTAACATTTAAAAATTACATAAAATAAACATTACTAAAGTATTATTTATTAAACGCTTCTTTTCTTGATCACTTATTAGCGCATAGATGCAAATTATCATTATTCCTATTATTATCTAATGAACTCTAGACTGCTCATTCAAATAGCACATCTCAAATATTCATGTTAACTGAATTGACTAACAACTTTACTTCAATTGCAATCATGAGCTATGTCAGTCTTTATAGATAAACAATTATATTTTTTGTAAATCGCCTCATAGGAGTTAGTCAACGGAAGCAACTGAAGTTAATGAAGTAACAGCGATCTCTAAGCAACCGTCATCCTGTTTCATGTACACTCCATTTAAAGCGTGAATTGTGTTTTTCCATCAGCGGGAGTACCAGCGGTTAGCGTGGCTCTCTGCTATGCATATTATCGGAAACGGTTAAAGTTCCAGTCAACAACTCGTTGGATGGTGCTTCTGCCAACACATGCAAACTTTCTGCATTCGCTGAATCCGATAATGCAAATGGTAGACATTATGTGTTTTGGGGGCGTTGCAACAAACATTCCAAACATTCAGAAATGTAATAAAAATTAGAGATACATATGAATGAGAATTCTGATATTTTGGAGTTACTAGGGGTACTGAGATGAAATAAAATCGCAATAAAAGGTTTTCTGTGGTATTTTCAAATCATGTATGATCGATGTGCGATATCAAAGAATCTATTACATTCGATTTTTTTAGGATGATTCGTTTCTTACTTCTTTCAAACACTTTTTTAAAAGAAGTGTACATTTTAGGAAATTGAGCTGTGTTGTGTGTTCCGAATGTTAGCAAGAAAAAAGTTAATGAAGTAAAACCAATAAGATTTCATTCAAAGCATCACGAAATCCAGGAGGGTGTAAAACTAAATAAAAGAACTCTATGTAAAATTCATCGCACTCTAAATTCCGATAACAATGATATGTGTATCTTTTTAGAACACGGGTCCCTGTTTCACCTCACCTACCTACACACGCACCCATCGTCTCCGACAAATCACAATCAGTGTCCTCGGCTTCGCGGACCAAAGGTCCACTCTGGTTCGCTCAGACAACAGCTACTTCGCGGCCAATGAATAAATAACCACTGGGGCTGTGCGAGCGTCCGACGCCTCCAGGCCTGCCTGCCTCTTCCTCGCCCTCTGGGGGGCGGCCGAGGAAGCACGACCTCGATTCAAAAGTTTCCGCGCCGCTCCTCTCTCTTTTCCATTAGGCGCCAACTGCGTTCCCCCTTTCGGGGCGAAAATTTTCAATCCGCGCTTGAAAGGGCAGCGAGCTAACGAAGAAGCCACGCGGAGTAACGAGCATCCGCTTGCCAGTCCGTTTCCCTCC